ACGATCGCCCCACTCTTGAGCCACGATCGCCCCACTCTTGAGCCACGATCGCCCCACTCTTGAGCCACGATCGCCCCTCGTGTCAGAATCATTAGTGTATGAATAGAAATATATGTAAATAATCACATTACAAACCTTATTTGCTCTTTCTGGCAATATAATTTGGTGCTTTAGTGTCTTTGGCAGAAATTTTAAGTAGTGGCATAAAACAATAAAATATTAAGATAAAAAAACCAAAACGTAAAACAAAGTATAGATGATACAGAGAACTGTGAAGCAGAATTTATGTAGTTAGAGTTGGTTTCTAACTCTAACTTTTTTTTCCTTTGTTGCAGCTGATGAAGAGAAGCTAGATGAACGGGCCAAGCTGAGCGTCGCAGCTAAGCGCTCTCTCTTCAGGGTGAGTTTTGACTTCAGCCTGTTGGGCATCTTATATTGTCTGAGTACGAGCTTCCAAGCTGAGGAAAAACTTCATTCCAGTTATGGGTACGATTGCAGACTCTGGGATTAATAAAGTATTCTGATTTCAATTTCCTGTCCTTCTCTTACTTTGAGGATTTAGAAATTTTGATTGCAGATGTGAGTCACAACTGAGCCAGCCTTATTCCTGAAATGATTTGTGCCATAATTCAGCGGCTTCTGGAATCACTTTTAGCAGGAAGGAGTTGAAGAAAACCTTTTCTGTATGATTGTGTCAGGCTCTCACATTTTTGTGGGAGAATTGTCTCTGTCCTCTTCAGTGTTGCTTCAATCCAAAGCCTGTTCAGTTGCTCTTATTTCATATGGAAGCAGTAAGGTGCAGGAAGTTTTCCTTGTTCATTTTGCTTTTTTAAAAAAAAAAAAAAAGCAATTAAATTGTTTATTTATTTATTTAGTTGCAAGATCTGCTAAGGACCAGAGGAGGTCTGTACAGTTTGTGTAATCAGCTGTGTTCATTTCTAAAGATGACCAATGTTTACCCTAATTATCTCCATCCAGGAACTGGAGAAGAGCGTCGATGGCGGAGCTCCTAAACTGCGGTCCAGGAATGCTGCTGTGGACAGGAGACTAAGACGGACACAAGATCGATCCAGAACTCAGCCGGTCACAACTGAGGAAGTAGTCATCGCAGCCACGTAAGGCTCTGTCACCTTGTTTGATACTATGTAATGTGAAAGACACCTCTAACAATAACTTACTTTCTTGATAGGCAAAGAGAAAGTGTATAATTATATAGTTCTATCAGAAAGAATGACTAAATAAATGTAAGCTTGAAAATGAGCCCATGGTGAGTACAAATGTGACACAAGAAAAAAGTACGTCTGGTCCTTTTACTAAGAACCTTCTGATTTTTTTTACTCTGAAAATGTTTCACATGTGGGTTTTTATTCTCATTACTTAAATTTTTATTACTATAATAGTACTCATTTTAAAACCTTTCACAAAGAAATGTTTCTGGAGACTATCTAAAAGGAGCAAAAATGTTAATCGCTCAGTATGATGAGAATTGCATAGTTCCGGGGCTATAATAGCAAAACCTCAACCCTCCTCCCCTTTTTGTCACAAGCTGTGGCCGGGGAATGACCACTAAGACTCCATCTACAGATCTGTGTGTTCCTGACAGCACATATCAGGTCAATAAATCAGAGGTGTAAAATCTTTAAGTGCATTAAAGCAAATACATGCACATCTGTTCTATTTGAAAAGTGCTCTAAAGGGAAGTTCTCCTAGATTATCAAAGCGGAACAAACTCAACTGTGCACATGTGTGTAGGCATCCATCTGTGGAGAGACCTTGCTGTGAAGATGAAGTTCTAGGGTGTTACCAGTTTTTTGTAGATTTAAACTTTTCTTTCTGCGTGAAATTGTTTCTTAAAGAAAGCTGTGCCTCTGACTTTTTCACTGTCCTCACATCTACATGAAACTTTAACCACCATCCTAGTCTTCATGTTTGCACCTTCCTGTCTTCTCTGTCCTCTGTGTGTGTGTATGACTGTGTCCCTGTCCTTGACCACTATAGCGCCCCATCTCACGTGCCACAAATGGTGTCCGCTCACGCTGCCGTAGCACGCGTCCCTAGCCCCACCCTAGTTTACAGCACTGTCCCACCATACAGGTACACAGCAGACGTGTGTGCACGGATATGTATGCTCACATCGAAGTGCGGTGTTTGACTAACACGTTTGAGTCTTGGCTGCTATGCAGTTTTTCTTCGTTCACTGTGTTTTAAACTATAGGATTGAGTTGCTGGTAAAGTTCTAATGCACAGTTTTAAGGTTTGGTGCCCTCATGTGTGATCGGAGGAAACTACATGAATTAATTGCTAAGATAGGACGTCTGGGTTTTTAACTCACTGCTTGGCGAGCATGACTCACCCTGCATGTGTAGCAAACCTTTTTAGCTCTGTGTTGGCGACTTTTATTGGCTGTCAGAAAATGCACTCTCTCTGACATGCCACTCGCTGGCTTGCATGAGCTCCCCACAAGCTTACAGAAGTCTCCGTTTTCTTCTCCCTCTTTGTCTCTTGGATGTCTTCTCCCCTCCTCAGCCTGCAGGCATCCTCACAGCAAAGTGCTGTTGCCCATGAGCAAGTGAGGGAGGCCCGGCAGGCGCAGGATACCAAGGAGATCCGGGGCCCGACGCAGACGTCTTCACTAAAAGAAAAAGATACAAAGCAGAGCGAGACTCAGGAGGAGCCTGACCTCTGCACCCTCAGCCTGGCTGAAAAGATGGCGCTGTTCAACCGGCTGGCTCAGCCCCCAACCAGGGTCACCCACACAAGAGGGGACACGCGGCAGCGGAGGGCCAACGCTCGCTACCAGACACAGCCCATCACACTGGGAGATATGGAACAGGTGGGAAAGCAGCAAGGTCACTTTGTTTCTCCAGTGCTTCGGTTCACTGGGAGAAGACCTCTTAACTTTGCTTTCTTACTGTACACATTCACTCTGTTAGTGCCACACAATACAAAGGTGGAGTATAAATGTAGTAATAATGTGTCATGACTTACTCGGTCAATCCAGTGTCTTATGCACAGAGTACGTGAATTAATATTTTTAGAGAACACAAGAGGAAAAGTGAAAATTCTGTCAATGAATATAAATGATGATGTAACTAAACAGCTGCTGTCCAGCTCTGGGAGCAGATTGCTGTTTAAGGGTAATGAATGTTAACAGAGTTTCAACTGGGCATGGATTGAATCACATGACAGAATTATTCTAGTGTTCACTGAAAATTGAAGAAATGTGAGAGCACCGAAGTGATGATATATGGAAAAGGGAAAAAAACATTTAAAGGTGGAAAAATTGAGAAGTTGCAATGATGACATGTTATCTGTTAGTCAGTGGGTTTGCAGGGGTTATAATTAAACTCCTGCTACTAAAGTAGAAAATCCATGAAACAAGAACTGCAGCATGCTGGTGTTTCTGCTCCAGGAGCTCTCAGACGTAGACCACAGTGATGAGCAGGAGCTGTGTGACAGTCTGGTAGAAGACCTACAAGTAAGCTTCCTCTGAACAGTCACCGACCACCACTTGCCTGCATCAGTGGAGGCTGACACAGCGGGAGCACTCTTCTCAGAAATGACCGTCCATTTCTGTGAACAACACGCTCTGTGTTTTCTTTTTTGGCTCGTCTCCACATTGGTGTGATTTCATTCTGAATGTACGTTGCATGGCCCAGCTTGTGATAAAGCTCTGAGTCATCAACCCCAGTTCAATAAAGAGGCGTGGATGGATGAAGCACACATATCAGCGAGTCTGTGGGCTTTAAAAGATGTCTCTGTGACAAAGAAGAGGGAAACCAAAAGCAGTTCAACTCCCATCTACAGCCACAGGGGTTGAAAGTTTGATTGTGGGGGAAGTATGAGAGAGAAATTTGAAGCAAAAGCGAGTTAATGGATGGATACATGTTGCAAGTTTCCTTGACATGGCTGCTTTCTGTTGCTTGTCATTGTTCCTCAGCAGAAGTGCCAGGTTAGTTCTCCGCTATGGATTATGAACCTAGTTGTCATAAACTGAAAGTGTTTGTCATGCGTTGTGCGTCGGCGGCTGCTGGCATGGCTTTGTGATGTGGGCTGACCATTAAGAGAGGCTGCTGTGTGATGCCCAGGAAGTGCACTGAGTCAGGCAGGCTGTGATTAGTCAGCGTTATTCTCTCGATTGTTTGTGTGTGCACTTTGCCCGAGCCGTTTCTCAGCCTCTGTAGCAAACTGACCCACTTCTTTGTCTGTCTGCATTACACAGCTTCAAAACGGCACAGGCTCTCGGTTTGGACACCACCTATCTTCCTCATCTTCCTCTGCACTCAGAGCAGGCGGGACGGTGTCCAGTGACCACGCCGGAGACATCCACATATCCACTGCAGCCTGCGTGGAGCCCACCTATCCCAGCTCTGACAGGTCTCTACCCCCTCGCCAACCAGACGGTCCAGTCGGGGGGTCCCAGGGATCCTCAGATCACCATAGGCATCACATTTTGCCCCAAGGGGAAGACCAGATTGATCTGGGAGGGGGGAAGAGGAAGTTGCCGTCTCCTGAGAGAGCAGCCAGGCAGACAGCACTGCCCCAGCCCCAGAGTGGAAGAGAAAGGAGAGAAGAGGAGGAAGAAGCAGAGGAGGAGCAGCTGCAGCAGCGGCCGGACAGTGCGATAGAAGAGGAAGTGCTGTGGAGCTCAGAGAGCCACAGGCTCCAGGACAGCCAGGAGCAAAGCCAGAGGAGCAGGGCCACCAGCGGAGGTAAGAAAACAGCAGGAGGAGGAGCTCAAAAGCATCAGTCTGCTTTTCATTGCCTGAACTACTCTGCTGTTTGTTCTGTCTTTACTGAAGTTTATAAACTTGCCAAGTTTACATTAAGATTTGGGGAGAATGATAACCGTAACTTGTCTATATTAACATTCAACAGCGATATGTGTTAAAGACCCTGAAGAGGAGAAGAGGATGGATGAATGGATAGATGCATATTTCCTTTTTTTAGTAACTGGAAATATTTGGATCAGAGGGTAGTGCTGTGGACTTGTAGGTTAAAGCTAGCAGTAGGTTGTTATCTTGGTTAGTAAGGTGCACCTGCAACTTAATTTGGTGTTAAATGGGAAGCTTATTTCAGTTAGCATGCAGAGTTAGTGTTTCTGGGTAGAACACTGGAGTTTAACAGAAATAAATGAAAAAAGCGAAGCTAATCAGAAGACTAAAATAGGTTTTAAAAATTTAAAGAGCAAACTCTGCTAACAGTTGGTATCGGTTTCCGTCAACAAGTTCTAATCCAACCCCACTTCCTGTGTGTCTGAGTGAAAATGTTGAGTTCAGACTGTGGTTTTCAGGCTTCCTTTGTATCTGAGCACTGCAGTAACACCGGGCCGTTCACTGTCTCTGTGTCAGCATGTGGCTTGTCAGAAAATAGAAATCAGTCAAACCGGAACTGTGGAACTTGTTTCGGGGCAGGGGGAAGGAATAGTGCGTTGACCTGAGTCTCCAGTGTGGGTTGTTTGATTACAGCTGTGGCAGAGATGTTTAAAGCTGTGAAAAGTGTCTTTGCTGCTTCTCACGAGGTGGACGGGATTATTTCGGTGAGCATGAAAGATGATTGCTGCGATGCTGCTTTGAGATGCTGAGTCTGCACTGTGACACCTCTGACTGTTATGTTAAAGGGTTTACACCCTACACAGCGATTCTTAGTTAATGTATTTTCCTCAAAAGATCATACAAGCGGTCACAGTTAATGTTTATGGAGTTGCTGCTGAGTTACTGATTTTTATTTATTTATTTATTTTCTCTCCCCCTCTCCTCTCACTATTTCCGTGTGCTCACACACACAGACCTGCTGGAATCAACTGTGGTAACATCCAGAGCAACATCTGGCTTCCCCGAAGCAGCAGACCCGCACACAGACAGCAACGCACACCCAGCTGACCCGGTTCAACCTGAGCAGGGAGACGAACTGAGCGACAGGATGATGGCCCGACACATGTCCATCAGAGAGAGGTGAGCATGGAAGTGTGCTAAGATAGGATTTAATATATATTTACTGCATGTCTGACCATATTCACGTATTGCAGAATACCATTTACCTGTTTCTCGGTAAATTAATCCTACAAGAGCAACGCAAAAGAAATCACGGTTTGCTCTGCTAGCTACATGTTTTGGGTTTTTTTTTTAATTCATTAACAATAAAAATAAGTTTAAATGTCTTTGTTTTTTAAAGAAAAGACATGTATTTCAAGACAAAATGCCGTGGTCACTGAAAACAGGCGTCGGTGCATAAAAATGCTAAATGATTAGGACCAATGGTTTCATTATTCATGAATGGTCATCAGTCATAGCACATTTGTGATCAGCTCTTTTACTTTTAAATTAAGAATGGATAAAATGTGATGACTGAAAATTACATCATGAGGGCAAAGAGGGAGGAGTTTTTAGGGTATTAGAGGGGCTTTTTCTTTACTGTTGAGCTTCCTGGGATGAAGTCTGGAGTATTAACAGAAGCAAAATGCTGGCTATGATAAAGAAATCATAGATTTTTTTTCATTACATTTCATTGTTGTTATATAACAAAACTAAAGCTGAGTATTGGATTCCTGAGCAAATCCTTACATAAGTCCTGTTATGTCATACGGGGATAATTGAGCTGTTCGTGCTAGTTGACTGGCAGACATAGGACACTAATCATGCTCTAAACTGACCGATGATATAATAAAGTTGCATGTAAACTGGTGTTAAAGCCTGTGGAGTTTGTACTAGTTATTGTGCTTCTCGTAAATCTGACTCTTTGACCATGTCTTGACTAATTTGTGTCGTTCCCACGTTCAAAGCATTTCTCTGGAGCAAGGGTCTGTATCCCAGATACAGCTTGCAAGTTGGACTGAGTGCTGCTTTCATCCTGTTTTTGCATTTGCTGTGTAGCCCTGGGGGCAGAACAGGACATTTCCTCGCTGGGTCACAGAGGGGTGCTTGTGATGGGGGGCAAGTGGGGCACAGCCAGGACCCTGACCTCTTGCATATATTGGTCCTGTCTGCCCCAGCTCACAGATGAGAGCTCAATAATTGAAGCTCTGTTCTTGCTCACGTTTAGGTTTTTAGACTTGTCGAGTACTTTAAACCTAATCCCAGTTTTCCTTATTAAAAAGATGGAAAAATTCAGGGTTGAGGTTTGAGTTGCTTTCCCAGCTCCTGTTACACTGACTGGCTTCTCTAATCAATGTTTATGTGTAATTGGATCAGAGCTGTCATTGCTCTGTCTGTAGACTGTTTACTTCTGCAGCTCCTAAACGACATGCTCGCTGCCTCTGTTTAATGTCTGCTGTCTTCTCATTCATAAATGTACAGGAGCATGGCTGCTTTTTGTTGGCTTTACTATTGTGACAGGTTGGGCTAAAAGCTCTGGGGAAGTAAGGTTTTGTGTTTCTTCGGCACATGTGGAAATAAAGAGTCTGCCTGCAGCTGCAAACTCAGTGGCTCTTCATTAAAACCACAGCGTGTAGTTGCTTTTGTGCCATCCTTAACATACAGTTTGTCATGTCACATTTGACAAAGTGTCTCAAAATCATCTTCATAAAACTCACCTCTTAAACAAATTGCTCAAGTTTTCCATAAATGCTCTGGATTAAATTTGAAAGCCTAGCCAAAATAAGGATTTGTTGCGGGTTTTTTGTTTTGAAAAGTGTCCTCTAACTACAAAAAACTCAACTAAAAAACATTATTTATTATTATGAGCGCTTTGAGTACTCCAGGAGAGTAGAAAAGCGCTATATAAGAATCAGTCCATATACCATTTATTTGTATGCTACAGCTCATGATCCTCTCCCCTTCCCCACTCAGAGTCGCCTTGTTAAAGAAGAGTGGCGAGGAGGACTGGAGGAACAGGATCAATAAGAAGCAGGATGTGGTGAAGATTGCTGCAGCAGAGCAGAATGCTCAACTCTGGGAGGTGGAGCAGAGCTTCAAGAAGAAGGTAACCACCTGACGTGAGCACTCACTGCTGAATTAGCACTTCAACAGAGAAGCCTGAGGTTGTCGTTTGTATCGCTCATGTTTTTGCACGTAGTCATAGCAGCATGCATTCATGACTGACTCTGCTACTTTGTGTCCACAAGACCTGAATGCAGAAGTGATGCAGTGAGTTGGTTAATTTGATTTGATCGACTGTGTCGCATTATGAAAGCAAGTATTTAATGTGTCAGCCTCTGAGATCATGCCGCTCAGTAGGTGTTCTCGATCTTCTATTGCTGACGTGTACAGAAAGAAAAATCTGATCAAAGACTGATACCCTTTAAACAATCACTTCTGTAGAACAGAGCTACAAGGAACATGGTAACAATTTTCAATATCTCTAAACAGAGAGGTCGTGTTTTTGTCTGCGTCTTTTGATCTTTTTCTCTTTTCTCTGTTCTGTCTCAAGCAGCTGTTGCATGTTTTTGTTCTTGGACTGTATCAAGAGATAATCTGCATGTCTTCCATCCTGGCAGTAGAATACATACTGTGGTGTCTGGATCAGTCACACAATACTTCATGGGGCATGCTGTTTTTATTTCCTAAATATGGAAGCCTGCGGCTGCCACTATTCAATCATGAACATTTTTTTCTTTCCTTTCCTTTCTTTTTAGGATACTAATTTTTTTCATACGTCAAACCTTTAAAATCCAATTTGATTTTAGGCCGAAAATGCATAAATGCAGTGAAATTAAACGCACGCAGTTCAAATACTTGGGTAACTTTTATGTTATGCCAACATTTTAGCTTATCAGATTTCTAATAGATAGTAAAACCCTATTTATATAATAGTAATATAATCCCAAGGCTGACAATCACAAATGCAGTTTTGCGTTGTGATGAATCATTTCTGGAGTAGCAAAAGTGAAAGCACGCAGGCTATAATATTCATAGGGCCACTCTTCCTAAGCTGTTCACTTAATTCTGATTCATTTAGCCCGCTCGAATGAATGTATTACTACATGTAGCCATGTAATAAACTATACATAACTGTACTTGTGATAGTATACCTGGTACTTGAAATGGATATCTCAAGTCTCTAAATAAGTTTTGGGGGGAGTTGACATAGAATAATCCTGCTGTTTAAGAGTTTTATTTTGCATTATGATGATAAAATATTAATAGAACAAACGTGAAAATTAATCAGACATGATTGTGTGTATATAAATGTAGAATGTAAAAAAACTTGAGCATCTTGGAAACAGTAGCCAGTCACTCATAAAAACTTGGAACACATGATTGAACATGAGTATTTGCAGCCTTTGACTTCCAAATTTTGAAGTTTTGCCTCATGTATGTTTTATACTTGTTATGAATATTAAAGAAGCTTAATTAAGTTGGATTTTAATCCTATTTGTTGCCTGAATGACTCACATACTGAGATGAATTTCCCCTCCAGAGAAAAGCTGAGAGCACTTTGTAGAGTTTAACTTTTCTCTGAGAGTTGAAAAGTATTCAAACTGTCAGCTACATGTGAGTGTTGTACTAACTGAACTGTAAAATGTAGCCTCTGTGTTTAGTCATGCTAGGCCTTTGTTTCTAGTTAACTGCATGTTACATGTAAACTTTCACTCTTCTGTTTGTCTCTGTTTGCATGTCCTTTACTTTTTCTTTTTTAAAATAAAAAAAAATAAACCTGATTTCTTTCCTCTGCATGTTGACTGCGTTTCTGTTTTTGAAGGAAGGGTTAGGTCAGGCACAGGACACGCACCTCTCTGTTTAGACATATTCAGCTGCTGTGGCACAGCTGTTTTTGTTTCCAGCAGCTTTTGTTTCCAGCAGCTTATCAAGGTTTGCTCAGCTCAACAGCTTTACACATACATATTTTCATTTTGGGTTAGTAGTTTATTTAAGGTCAGGAAGTACTTTACCTACGTAGCTTTGATTCATCGTGTGCAATCAGACACACTGATTGAGGAGCTTTTTCTGGGGGGGGTTTTGTTTTGGGTTTTTTTAAAGATATGATGTCTTAATGAAATCAGGGAAATCTTTCAAGACCTAATCAATTTCAAGTGATGGCTGGGTCCAGGTTAAGGGGAAGGGCAGTTGATGTTTTTCATCTTGTTTCCATCCTCCAATTCACCCGAGCGAGTAGACATGATTCATCAGGTTTCCTGTTTTGAATCGAAGAAGTGCAAAACTACAGATAAAGCAGATACAGAACCGAGTCAGAGAAAAACGGCAAGTAGAGCAGAATAAAGGCTGTTTGGACAACTTTGCTTTTTGATGGACTTTGTAGTATGTGTAAAGTAAAAAGAAACAAACTTGATATTTACCTAGAAATTAACCATTCGCCCACGTGATAAATGTCATACCTGGAGTATAGAATCTGTAAAGACTCACAGGGAGCGGGAGTAATGTGCTTTGGCCTGTGTGTGAAATGAATGCTGGGAACTGTCCCTTTTTCTTTGGCTGCTCGTCTGTAGGATGATGAAGCGATGATGATGATGATTGACGAGTTTGCTGTGTCCGACCAGCTTTGGGTAAGGCCCGTGCAGAAACCAAACGTGTGTGCACGTATGTGTCAAATGCATTTAGTTTTCATTTTTCCATCTTTAACTTTGTTTCCTGTTGAAAACTCTTAGCCTTGGTGGGACACACAGAGCTACGTTTGTGTGTCTGTTTGTGGTGGTACTGGTGGTGGAACTGAGTGTGGGTGTGTCTTAAAGACAAATTGTATTAATAATCATTCTGATTGTTGTAATTATGCTGTGTTCCTCATCCCACCACTGCTCATCAGGTTTCAGATTTATAATTGTGTTAGAATTTCCTGTTCTGTCTTACACTATGAATCTAATTTAATTGAGTTTAAAATTTCCCATTTATCATATTGACTTTGGCACGCAACCTCTGCTTCTCTAATCGACTCACATTTATGACAAATGTTTCTTGTGGTGTAAGATTTGTCTGAAAGTTGGTCTAAAATCTCAAGAGTCAGTTTGGTGTGCTTCAATCTGCTTCCAGTTTCATCTCTGTTCCAGTGGTTCAGGGCTGTGGCTTTACATATTAATGTGGCTGCAGGGATTTTTTATTAATTTATTATTAATGTGTATTGTTTGCACAATGTGTTTGTTTCATTGGTGGATACAAGTAACAAGAAAGAATATAAATGATTAAAAGTGAGGAAAACCATCAATAACCACTAACGGGGAAATTTTTAAATGGTAAAAACACAAACATGACATAATTCTTTAAATTCAGCTTATGGTACATCAGTGGAAAAAGTAAATAAAATGTCCATGAGAACCATATTGTGAATGTTTTTTAAACCCTCACTGTGAAGTTAACCAGCTAAGCGAGCATGTTTGTGCACATACAGAGTAGAGCAGGCAGCTGTACGTCTTGGGGAAACACTACTGAGGCAACAGCGTTTTGGTAATTAATGAGAACCATTCAACCAAATGAGATCAGATTGTCTTATACACAATGCTCACCCACAACACTTGAACCAGACTGAATGAATGGTAGTGGTGGATAACATACCTGACAGGTTTGAGTCTAAATAACTGCTGTTGCATTTTGTTGTAATGTTACAGCAAAACAAGGTTTCTGCAAAGTAACTGAACTGCACTTTAAATTAGATTATCTCTTTTTTATTGTTACACTCCCCTCAATATGACACAGGCTAGAATACCCTGACCTTTACTTACTAATGCAAGTCAAGCTCCTCATCAGCCCCTCCCTTGTTGGTCATCTGGAATGAAGACTTTCTGTTGTAAGTTTGGAGCCTCTAACCCCAAACTGAGATCATCCCAATGCCTCGTCTGTGACACAACTTGTTATTTCCTGAAACCCGTTGAAAAATCTCCAGAGCTGCAGAGTTCATTGTACAGTTGTTTTTGCAAAGAGTCTCACACTACATGTAACTAGAAAACTGATACATTGAAGCCTTGTTTCGCATGATGCCAGTGTTTCTAAAATCCCAGCGACACCCCTGCAGCTGCTATACTCCTGATCATCCCCTTCATGTGTATGTGTACATTTCCTATTTCTGTGGCTTCCATAGGAGCCAGTGTTTGCTGCTACTTTCTCTACTCCTCCTGAGCCTCCTTACAATGCAACCGAATCAGCCAGCCAGGTAGGACGCGTCAACAGGTCTTGCTGCCTTGCATTGCTTGTTGTACTTGCTCACACACCTGCTTCACTAAACTCACACATTACAAACCCTACTCTACAACTTTGCTCCTTAGCCACATCACTGTGGTTAATATGCATTATTAATGTGTTCATTCTGAGGTTCAGAAATATTTGGACAGTGGTGGAATTTCTTTAATTTTTGCCTCTGTACACCACCATTTACTTTTGAGTTTCTGAAAAACTGAGACTGTATAAAAATGTCCTTAATGGTTAATTAATGAACTGGTAATTGGTGAATTAGAGCTGAAGTCTGCACTTTTTGATTTAAAATCCACTGGGTGTATGGGAGGCAAAACCATTCAGGCACTAGCACACTGGTATTGATATAAGTCACACATCGTTATCAGCACAGGGCCAGCATGGCAGCCCCTGCAGCTTCTCGTGCTTGTGCAGAGCTTGGATCTTTTCTTCCGTCTTTTCATCCATAATCCTCATCTTTTCTTACCTTCCTCATCCATCCCTCTGGTTGTGAAGGCCATCAGATCTCGCAGACCCGTGCAGGTGGATGAAAAACACCCCTGGAGACGAAAGGTGACCCTTTCGAAGCTATACACAGCTTTCTGGGCAATTCCTCCCCCTCCCACTCACCGCTGGCAGCCTCCACACAAACACAGCAATCAAAGCTCCAGTCACGATCGGCACCATGAGTTGCAGTCTGCTATATTCAGTAGACTTCTTCCATTTTACTGTCACGAGTTACTTTAAACACCCACACAGTCATGTGTCATTTCTTAATATTGTTCAAATAGAGGTGAATGACTTTAGCGCTGTGTGAGGTAAAGATTTTCTCATTTTCTCTGTGTGTACTCTTTGTGTATTTGGGCACTTTGTTGTTTATGAATGTGGGAAACATTTAAACACACAGACTGCAAAAGATGCAGTACTGTGTCCATTTTGATGGGTAGATTTTAGTGATGAGTGCAGTTTGAACAGTGTCAAACTCAAAGGCCACACTCAAAAATGAGAATCACATCTGGCATTTCCCCAAAATGTTGATTTTTGTCCAGATAAAACCCACATCCAGGCATCTTAATGGACGTGCCATTTAGCCCAACAACCTCGCTTCCTCACCTCACAGCCCTGCTGACCACAGCGTTAATCAAAAGCCTGAATATTACAGCTACTAGGAGACTGGAGGTGTTTATGAAATCATTGTCTTTACATTACAGCTTTAACAGAGCAAGTTAGCTGCACTGTACAGCCGAATCTTCTGGCATCAAGTTTCTGTGCATAAACGCCTGAAAGCTGTGAATAAACTGCAGCTTCTCTGCAGTTTTCGTCCTTCATTGCCATTTGGATCCAACACGTATTTTGCGTTACAGTTCAGCAGCTTTCTGCAGCGCCTCTACGACTCCAAACCTCTGCTGGCGTGCAGAATAGAAAACTGAGTTTATATCTCAGCAAATGCCGACCCACGGCATCGATCCGTGGGTCGATGCCGAGAAGCATTCGGTCTCCCACGTCTCTGGAGACTTTCTGACCTTGTTATCAACAGTCTGTTTACTTCCATGAAAGTACAGGAAACGCTGTTTAATTTGGCGTGTGACTCCAAATGTGGTGCTTAATGATCATTGTGCAGCTTCAGCTAAGCAGGGTAAAATTTATAAATAGTCTTAAAAGATTTTGTGGCCACATGACAATTTGTAAAGGGCCATATTTGTCCTGTGGGCTTTGAGTTTGTATAGCAAGCACTTTTATGAAGGACATTTAAATAAATGCAGGGATGTGATGGGTTACCCATTCACAAAATGCTCCCTGGAATGCATCGCACATTACAAAAGATGCAGTAAGGCACCTGAGAAGTGTTCTCTTACACTTGACACTGACTTGTCCTCCCTCCTTTTCTCAGAGGTTAGCAGAGGCAGAGATGGAGTCTCAGAGCATCGAGGCTCACATGTCCATTGAGGAGAGGAAGCAGCTGATCGTGGCCCGAGAGGAATCCTGGAAGTCCAAAGGCCACGGAGCTGCCAACGACTCGACCCAGTTCACTGTGGCTGCACGCATGGTGAAGAAAGGTCAGAGGGCAAAAACGCTCACTTTCCACTGGCATACCTGTGCTCGTTATGCACTGCTGCAGAGCAATAAAGAGTTAGCGTCAGCCTCAGCTCTGTGTCCTGAATGCTTAAAAAAAGCTTGCTCCACAGCTAGCAGCTTGGGGAGAATGACTCTCGTTTTCCCTCCATCAGGCCAGAGTAGCTGCTCCAAGGCCTTCGCTGAAGCAGAAATGATTTAATGGTTGGAGCTTTCCACATTAGCTGTGCACTTACCCTGACGTGGCAAACGATGGACAGTTTCATTAACTATTCCTGCTTATTATTCCAGAGCTCTGTAACATACAACACATGCAAAGACACCCACACCTGTTGCTTTCTGTGTGAACCTACAAACTGATAGTACTGCATCTGCCTGTGAAACTATGAAAATAAATGAATTTGTGTTTTTACTAAAATCACAAACAGCCCTTCCCCTTCAGATTGTACCTGAGTCATCATCACATGTATATGTACGTCTCTGTTGCTGCAGGTCTGGCCTCCCCTGCTGCTCTTCAGAATCCTGTGCCGTCCAAACCCAAGAATGGCAGCATTGCCATCTCTAAACCACAGGATGGTCAGTTGCACTTCATTTCTGTGTTTCCCTGTTAGAGCATGTCACCCTGCTTTCATGTTAACAGATGGTTTCAGGAGGGTTTTTCAGGACTTTAAGGGTTCAGCCATTGCTTAAATCGGATTTAAATTAATGACGCGACTTTGTTACCTCGTTAGCCTCTGAGCTCATGTTGCGTAGGTGCTAAATGTATACTTTTGTGTTATTCTGTTTTTGCTTTTCTTTCCAAAGACATGGAACAGATGTCTGATACTGAAGGTTTACTCTTTTTGTCTTTTTTGCCATTTATCACGCCGCTCATCCAAACCACCAATATCACCAACACTAATGTGACTCGTGTTGCTGTGAGACTTCTATTGGCTTGTAAAGCCTAATAGAACGTAGCCCAGGGGAAGGCAGTCACCTGGACTAATGTGCATGAGTCTGAGGTGCTGAAGAGTTCACATTCGGAGGCCTTGGAAGTGCTTGTGACCATGTTTAGATTTACGGCATTGTGACTTTAACATTATACTCATTATTCAGTCAACAGGAGCAACATTAGTCGTGACATGTACGAGCAGAACCTCATGTCGCTTTCCTTTTCACCTAAAATCAAACACTTTGTTGGCTCTGTCGTGTGTGTGTGTGTGTGTGTGTGCGTGTGTGTGTTTTTGTGTGCGTGTGCAGAAATCAAGGCCATGCCAGATCTGAACCTGGAGTCAGACATGAAGCTGGATAAATTGGAGTCATTCCTGGGCAAGCTCAACAATAAAAGTGAGTCCTTCACAGACACGAGTATTAATGGTGCCTGCTTACATGTAGGTATGGAAGCTGATAGCTGCAGAAACCATCTTTTCTTGATATCATTAGACGATACAAGTGATATCAAACTATTTTCTACAAAAGCAACATTTGACATGGAGCTGCTGCAAAACTGTTCTTTTTAAATATTGAAGAACCAGGTAAACTTTGATCTTTTCACTCGGACGTTTCTGAGTGGGCTTGTGTGACAATCTCATCCATATTCATCCCGTGCAGGTCAGCATGCAACCTGTAATAGAAGACAGTAGGCCACAGCTAAACCATGTACTGCGGACTGTGTCCATAGCATCATGTTAGACACCTAAGATAAATGAAAGTCAATTTGTGTAATTATGTGTTAGATAAAGCCCTCACACAGAATGGTTGGTTGTTATTAGTGGGGCTTGTTAAAAGTCACAAAGAAAGTGAATAATTTCCATTTTCTGTATTTTTGTGGTTTTTAAAGAGTCGCTTCTTTCTGTCTGTCCTCAGTGTCTGGACTGCCAGAAGCAACCATCACAGTGACGGAAAAGAAGGTAAAGGAAGTGATGACCCTCGAAGACGAAACTTTTTCCAAGTTCTACCGCCAAGTGGAGGAACTTCCTTCCGTCACCAACAAGCTGGAGATGGATGACGACTTTGATGCCATCTTCGGTCCCCAGGTGCCAAAGTAAGCTCTCGATGCCTGATGTGGTTTTGACTCATCACTGAGGGTGAGACTTGTTCCTGTTAACTGTGACCCTTTACCGCTGACCTCTCTGCAGGCTGACCTCAGAGATGGTACAGCACAAGCGGGCGGTGCGCCCAGCACGTAACGTCCAGTCATCCAGGAACCCTCTAAAGATGCTGGCTGCCAGGGAGGACATCAGACACGAGTACACGGAGCAGAGGCTCAACATCGGCCTGCTGGAGAGCAAAAGGATGAAGGCTGAGAAGAGTGAGTGAGGATGGATGAGGAGCAGCTGTTTAAAATAATATACAGTCTCCTTGACGATGCTCTATTTGTCCAAGCACCAACAGGTTGTTGTAATTTATCATTCCTGCGGTTGTTGCCAGGCGCATTGGACACTGCCATTCCTACTTTACCCTGCATGTCAAACTGTGCCGTGTTGTGGGAGGCTGGTGAAATTGACAGATGCACAAAGAGGCCAAAAATCTCTTCTCTCTTCTTCCCTGTGATGTGTGCATTCATGTTATCAGCAAATGCAAATATCTTGCCCCTTATATTGACAGAGAGATGTATTGACCAATTGAGTCAGTGTTTCTATGGAAAAAGAGGGCAATATAGCATCACTCTCATATAGAAAGGCTCACTTGTATCATGCACTCTAAAAGCTTCTCCACTTGCTTTGAATGAACCCACGCACACCGCTTTGGGATGTGAGCAGACCTGCATGCGTGTCCCTTTCCTGTTATTGTGCTGAGCAGTCCTCGGAAAAGTCAGCTTTGTTTATGAGCTACACGTGCACAGCAGCTTGTTTTGACTGAAGACAAGAACCCACACTCTTTGATGTGTAACATCCTCCTTCACCTCCTCTCATAGCATTAAACCTTTAGTACCTGCTGTAGTGAGACACAGTAGAGCTTTGTGGTCATGGCTGTGTGTACTGGGTGGATGTGTCTTTGCTGTATAAGAATGAAGAGTAATAAATTAAAATTGTTGTGTGTATTTCTTGCAGTCTAATGTCAGTTCTCTGTGCTCTGCTCTTTTTCCTGCAGTGAATAAGAACTCTGGTTTCTCTGAAGTGGCTCTCGCCGGTCTGGCCAGCAAGGAGAACTTCAGCAGTGTCAACCTGCGCAGCGTCAACATCTCAGAGCAGATGTCCAACAACAGCGCTGTGCCTTACAAGAAACTAATGCTGTTGCAGGTCAAAGGTCAGTTAAAGATACTGGAAACACTGCACTAAATGTACAGAAACACCTACCCTCACAACAGGAATACTTCTACTTTTCTTTTTATTCAGTCCACTGCACCATATTTGCATACTTTTGTTAAAAGCGAGGTTTTTGCAGTTTTTCAGAAATTCTTTGATTAATGTGCTGTGATTCTGCAATGTTTTAATTCAGGTTCACATTTTAGGCTTAGCACTCATGCAGGTTTATTTCCATTAATCCCACATTTAAATCTAGCAGCATCTTGCTAAGATGCTAAACTCTGGCAAAATAACATTCAGCAGGCAGCACAAAGAAAAATAATAAAATACAATAAAAACAGTGCAGCTAGTGTAAAGTGGAAAAAAATTCCAGGCAATAATTTGTAGTACCGAATAACAAGTTAATAAACTGTGTGTGCTCAGTATTTTTAAATTGCAGTCAGTGAGTCTGTAGCAGCTGCTACAATTAATCGTTTAAGGAACGGAAAAACAAAAACCAGTTCGCACAACGCTCTGGAGGATGCTTCTTCAAGAGTGTCCTTTCCAGAGGACTGGAGGATATCTAAAACTGGAGATGAGAGCATGTCTGTGCATCTCCTCCTTATGTCTGTTGGTGACAGCTGTGGTTCCAAATCATTCTCACCAGGGTGCCTCACACTGCCCCAGGCTGATCCACTCCTCTAAAGCCTGCTGTCTGTAATGCAGAGTAAATCCTCAACACTGGGGTTACTGTTTTGTTTGGAGGTTAGCTGTCCCAACCTGATGGTTGGTAGATGGTAGAAGCCAAAAGCGTCCTAAAATCACAAAACTCTAACAAATAAATAAGGGCAGCAAAACAAATATTTGCAAAAGGAAAATTAGAAGTTAATGTAGATAACATACTTGGTGAAGTGGTGAGACTCGCAGATGCTTGTCCTGTTACTGCAAGTACAATAATGTGACGATCTGACTACCTGTCTGTCTGTGTGAAACCAGGCCGCCGGCACATCCAGACCCGACTGGTGGAGCCGCGAGCATCCTCCCTGAATAGCGGCGACTGTTTCCTGCTCATCACGCCACAACACTGCTTCATCTGGATCGGAGAGTTTGCCAATGTTATTGAGAAGAGCAAGGTGGGTTACGACTCAGAGCGCTGCAAAGCAGTGATTACAAAACGGCTTATTGTTGGTATGCTTAGATTTGAGTACAGTATACTTACTGTTTGGGAATTTACAGCCCTCTAAGAACTGAAATCATGTTGTATAAGAGTCTCACTGCTGCATGTGGGACGGGCTTCAAGTGCAGGATGTAAACAGTGTTAGGAGGAAGCTACAGTGGCATAGCTCAGGAAGGTGTGTGTGTGTGTGTGTGTTCTGATGACCTTTTAGCTGAATAAACTAGTGACCTAAATCTGACACAAAGGACTGTTGTGAGCCGGTGTCCACAGCTTTCATGGGGTTGTTCTAGTTCACTTCATAAACTTTGGTACTTTATATTCTAACAGTTATTTCGTGTGTTAATACAAGATATTTTACATTGAAATAAGTGGAAAAAATCTGCCAATGGAACAAGTGAAAATCCTCTAGTTTTTCTCTCGTTTCAAGATTCACCGAGTGAAGAAGTTTCTATATCTTACTGGAATGTTGCTTTGTAGCTGATTTTGTCTTATTTTAAGTGTAATGAGATAAATTTTGACTAGAAATGAGATAAATGTACTTGTTAAGATGGAAGTGTTTCTACTTTTTTATGGTGTGTGTGTGTGTGTGTGTGTGTGTGTGTGTGTGTGTGTGTGTGTGTGTGTGTGTGTGTGTGTGTGTGTGTGTG